CAGAAAGGCCGGATCGGTTCGATGACAGCCGGCACCACCCTTTATTATTATATTGTCTAAACGGCATCATGTAGGCTAAGTTGTGCCCCCCCCCCGTTGACAGTTCACGAGCGCGTCCATAGTGTCTCCCGTCCACCCCCGCCCCGTCCACCCAGTAAAAAAATCCCCACTGCACCACTGGGTATGAAGGTAAATGAAATCTGTAAATACACAGGGATTTGTCATACAACTGTTACATTGAGTTACAAAGAACGTATAGAAAGCTCAGTTTGGCCATAGGAAGAAAAACAACATTTAATTTCTTATTGAAAAAAAAACAGACCTGCAGTTAATTTCAGATAACTGTGACTGAAGCTGATTCAAACTCAATTTTTGTATTAACAAGCAAACAAATATCCATTAAACATGTGTTTTAACTCTTTAAAACGTGCTGAGGCGACAGTAAAAGTGATTTTAAGCTCTGTAGTACGCTGACCTCTTGTGGTCAAAATAAAAATGAATCTACTGGGAGTGATTTAAACTACATGACGGAGGTGATTGATCTTTTCCTTGATACTTTTTAATACCTTATAATAATAAAACATTAGTCTACCTAATACACGTGTCTTATTGAAACTTAAGACAATGTCATCTTTCATAAAGTGAGAGCTCAGTCAGATTAAATGCAATTGTGAATTGTGTTCAGACGGTTGAAAAGCAGATTGGGGCCAGCGAGAGCAGTTTTGCTTTATCCAGTTTGGAGACGGGGAAGAAATACATCGTCACCATCATCGCCTACAGGGGGAGCAAGAGGAGCAAGGTGGTGGAGACCTTCTTCAAAACAGGTCTGTGCAGAGTTCACTGAGTCTCTCCTGCTTTCTGTGTATGTTGCTCTTTTCTGAAATTGGAATTTTTATTAGTTTATGTCAGTTTCTCTGAGACGTCACATTGTGAGTATTAAATAGGTATTACCCATTTGTGCCCAAAGACTCGATTTGGTATGTTAAGGGAAAGGCCAAAACTATTATTCTGATTGGTATTAACTTTTTAGTTCTGTTACTGACATACTCTGGGCAGGTATAAGGATAAGTACACCTTTAAAATGTTTAGATCACATGAATGATCACAATTTTATCTAGTCGTATTCCGAATGTTCATAAAATCGAGAAAAAATGCCAACTTTGCACCTCTATGGCCACAAGAGATTAAATATCTAGTTCACTGTGACCTCACAACACATGTTTTTTCCATAACAAATAATGTAAATGGTTCTTAAGATGGGTTAAACGCTTCACATCTCTTCTCTAGTTGGCCTCGTGAACCCCTTCCCTGTGGACTGCACCCAGGTCATGAAGAATGGCAATAAGAAGAGTGGCATATACACGCTTTACCTTAACAACAACCGCTCCAAACCATTTGAGGGTTTCTGCGACATGGAGACTGACGGAGGCGGCTGGCTGGTACCAATTACTTCCACTTACCAAAATATATAAATTTGATTTCAATATTAAAGGTTCCAACGAGTCACACAGCCGGATAAAAAGTTAAAGTCTGAAAAGTTATCCTGAACATTTCCACATTAGAGATATTCAACACCTCTGATGCTTTGTTTTTGACTTGTGTTCTCAACTATATAGAAATGCAGTTTGAATTAGCTGGAGTAGCCATGAATTATAGTAGTTGCCAGTTATAGCTACTTAAATGTTAGTGTTGGAGATGGTAACCAAAGAAAACATTTGGAAAGATTTGTGTAACAGATGTGAATGAACATCCTGTGTTTGCTGCTTTCAGGTGCTGCAGCGACGTAACACCGGCAAGCTGGACTTTATGAAACGCTGGAAACAGTGCATAGCCGGCTTTGGAAACTTGACAGAGGAGTTCTGGATTGGTGAGCACCGGTTCTTAGCAGAAATTGAAGTATGCACATCTGAACATTAATGGAGCATGTCCTCTTTTCTGGCTGTTCCCTCAGGTCTGGATAAGATATATGAGCTCACCAACACTCCGACTCAGTATGAGCTGAGGGTTGAATTGGGACTGGGCGCCGAGAGAGCCTATGCTGTGTACGACGACTTTAAGATTGCAACGGTCAAGCAGAAGTTCAGACTCACTATCGGCAAATACAGTGGGACAGCAGGTGGGCCTCTTGCTCCTTAAATCTCTTTCAAACTACCAATTGACACCATATGGAACTTACAAAATGTATATTCTCTCAGACACTTCCCTCAAATAGAAAAAGGAAAGAGAACACACAGTAGGCACCCCACCCATTCTTCTGTGGGCTGCTTAGAAAGCTATTCACACTAACAAAAGATGGAATATTTTGTGTATATTCTGTCAGTTACAGACCTGAGCTATATGGGGAAAGTGATGTCTAAAGAAGGCAGGGCTTTTGTGGGATTTGAAGCCAGACAGATGCAGACACACAGCGAGTAGGCCAGACAGATGCAGACACACAGCGAGTAGGCCAGACAGATGCAGACACACAGCGAGTGTGCTGAAACAACATATACTGTATCTCTCTATTTCTGTCTTTTTATTACATTTCTTCCATCAGGGAACTCATGGAAGAAAAGGAAGTGAGCAGAATAACTGTTAGTAGAGAAAAGTTGAACTGCATACAGACTGTTCTGTATTATATAAACATTTAGGTTCGATTAACTTTTTATTTCTAATGATCCCCAGGTGATGCTATGACCTACCACCAAGGCCGGCCCTGGACTACTATAGATAACGATAATGACATCGCCCTTGGCAACTGTGCCCTGGCCCACCGCGGCGCCTGGTGGTACAAGAACTGTCACCTGGCCAACCTCAACGGAAGATGGGGAGACAGCAGGCACAGTTTGGTGAGTGAGCAGTGAGGCACTCCTGCACTGATGTTCATAGGGTGCTCTCCTGCCATTACTGTGGATCTGCCCATTTTGGGTTTAAAAAGACGAAAAAGTAATACAAAAGACAAATTAGAAAGCTAGTAGGAGGGTTCATGTAGAACCTGTAGGGACTTGCATCAGCATTAGCGCAAAAAAAAATATTAGTGTAATTATGAATATTGTTCACAAGAACACTCCAAACATAACCAGTCTTTATGCCTAAATTGTTAAGGACAAAGTGTTGAAGTTAAGTCTGAATATGAAAATATATGAAATGGAGTCTTCTCACCAATAGGTGGCACTGACAATGTTATGTGATGATAGATTTCAACATACCCATGTTACATGTTAACAGTCTAAGGGTCCTTTCAAATAAGGCTTTATACTCTCATTTCTAAACTCCATCCCCAGTAATTGATTTAATTTTTCGTTCTAGCTATAAAGTTCAAATTTGCGTTGCAAAGTTTAGCTACACTGAAGACTTTTTTTAATTGTTTATTTTCTGTGTTTGCCATTCAGTTCAAAATGTCGATGAAGCAAATCCAATTTTTATCGAGCAAGGTTTTTAGTTAATTTAGCAGGTTTCAATAGAGAGGCATGCTTTTCTCTTCTATTTTAATTGTGAATTTCTCTAACTGCTAAACGAAATATATTTAGCCGTTGAACAATTACCACTCAGAACCAGCTGATTTCAACATTATATATTTGCTAGCGCTTAAATAATGCTCGCCAAATACAACTAATCATGATACAAAATAGAACAGCCTCTGTTATTTATGTTCAATCAAAACATACTTACAAAAAGAAACTTGAAAAAAGCGTGCTCACTGGGAAGCTGTTCCCTGGTCAGCAATCAAAGACAACTTCACCCCAGACCTCTCTCAGTTGTTTTGTTTTAGATTGTTGAGATGAAGCACAAATGGCTTGAATCCATCAGCAGTGATGAGAAAACGCATTTCTCACACCAGCTATAAAGCATAAGTGTTTTGTTACCAGGCTGATAGGATAACAACAACAGTTATTATGTCTAAGGGAGTCTGATACTGAAGAAAAGGCCAGTGGAATTGTTCTGCTCGAGACTTCATCCATAATATTGCCGCTGCAGATCACTCCCGCAATGTTTGTCGGCGAAATGCAATAACAGTCAAAACAAGTTTGTACTTACATGAAATGAAGCCTGAGGCTGGTGTTTAATAGTGTTTGTCATTCTGCCTGTCTATCATTGTCGCCTGCCCATTTCTCTCACCCTTTTCTTGTCCCCCTCATTTCCCCTCTCCCTTCTATTTCATCACTCCAATGTATACTGATACTTAACTCCCTTCTTCAATCTCCTGCCGCTCAATCTGCTCTCAGGGAGTGAACTGGGAGCCGTGGAAGGGCCACCTGGTGTCCCTGGACTTCACAGAGATGAAGATCCGACCTCTGGGAGCCATGTCCAGCAGGAAGAGGCGATCATTGATGGCCAGAAAGAAGAGCAGAGCCACAAACCCCCAAAAGAAGTAACAGTGCATCTCCCACTAAAAGCACAACAGTCATCACCGGTCCCATTAACCCTGCATCACGCTAGACTTGGGTGTTTCTGTACATTTGTTCATACTTATGTCCGCACATGCCTGTACAGTATGTGTCTAAACTCTTGACAATATGTACACACACTGAAAGAAATCCGGATATGGAATAATAACTTATTATCTGTTTGTATGCAATGAGATCAATCAGAAATTCCTAGGTTTAGTGTGCTTGTGGGAAAGACAAATGCCTTGGTGTTGTTTTGAGTGAACTGAATATTGAACAAGTTTATCAGTTATACAGCAATTGTTATTCTTACAAGCTCCTGTTTCACTGATTCTGGTACTAACTTCAATTACAGATCAGGAAACAGAAGATTTAAAGGTGGGGTAGGTACGTTTTGAGAAACCGGCTTGAGATACACTTTTTGTTATATTCCATGGAATGCTCTTAACATCCCGATAGCAATGAATATCATAAGTGCTTTGACAAAAAATCCATAAAAAAATGTCATCTGTGGAAGCCGTAGTACTGTAAAAAGCACGACCAATCATTTTAGCCGGCCCGGCTAAAATAACTGGATGGCCTACCTGCCTGTCAGCCTTCCATCTGTGCACAAACTTATCTCGTGCCCTCATTGGTCATGTGCGCGTTTGTGTGTGTTGGAGGAGGGGCTCTGTAAGGAAGAGGCAGATTTTGTCCGGCTGTGTATTTTCAAATTATAGCGCACTCGAGCTGGTTTCTCCAAAATTACCTACCCCACCTTTAAGTTAAATTGGGCGAAAAAAACGAATTTTCTTCAATTCCTTCATTAACTTTCTTTTTAACAGGCCTCCGGGCAGCAGCCCAGGTTATTTGTATAATATTTGTTTATTTGATATCCTATGAAGATTTGAGTAGCAGCCTTTCTTGTGTATAGTAGCACTGTCATAACAACATAAATGTTAAAAAAAGATGCGAAAATGCCTTGTGTGGTTTGTTTTAAGATCAACTGTGAACAGTTAGCGAGTTAGTGCCCTGAGTTTATTGACGGTGAAGTTGGCTGGCTGTGTCACATTCAGCTGCACTGCCCTGCAAACACTGTCACATCCCATCAGTGTGTACAGAGCCATAGAATAACAATGGAGGCTGAGTGATCATACTGCTCCTGCTTTATATTCATCTGATACCGACAGCGCATATCAATCAATGCAATGTGCCGACATCAAACGTTCATATGGATGAAGTGTGTTTGCAGCGTCCTGAGGGACTTAATGAACAAACTCTTGTTTTCAATCTGGAAAGCTGACAAAGGTTATTAATACTACTTTGACTTTGACTTCATGTATAATTGCATTTTTTACACTTTTATTACAAACTGTTGGTTTATGAGACAGGGATGGAGCACACAAATCAACTTTTCTGATGATTTGACAGATTTCATCTAAAAGTACCCCGCTCCTCCATAAATGTAACTCTCACTTAATGTCTTATCTTTAAACCTTCACGGCTCATAAGATTTTATTTGAACAGATCTTCAATCGGGAGTTTCAAGGTCAGAAATTAGGACCAATTCTAAATAATGTACAAACCTGTATATGTCCATTTTGTTTTACTAATTTCAATCACATCAACATTACAGATGCACGTTTATATTTGTGCCATGCATTCACATAATAATTCAATAAATTAATATATTTTTTTACATGAAGATTGTTCTTTTTCTAGACCCTTAGGGATAAAGCTTGGACAAAATACTAGGCATTTCCGCAGAGGTTAAAGTTGAACATTTGAAATGGGAATATCAGTAAGGTCTATTTGAACTACGACTGTAGTGCTTCATTTCTGTATAAAATAATTGATGCATCTTGAGATAACAGAAGACTAAGAGTGTTTAAAAATGCAGCTCTTAGGCCCCGTCCTTTTAGCTCTGTTAAAGAATATAATCCCATCTTGTCCTCATGCAGTTTTAATGCAGCTGTAGTTAGCTTCATTACATACTACATCACTTTGTCCTCCATCCCTTACAATAAACTACTTTAAGGAGGGTTCTCTTCACAGCCAGTAAGGTCTGGAGAACAATTACAACGATTATTAAACCTTTCAAAGAGATATTTGAACAAACCCATGAATTTAATCACAATGAAAACATGCTGATGTTTTGCAGGTAATGTTAACACTGCTGATCATCTTCATTTGGTGAGTTATCATCAGCTGAAGTTGAATCCTCAAATATTTCTATATGATCTTAATGACATTTTGAGTGATAGTGATCCCATAAGTAATTGCAGTTATGTGTGAGGACATTTGTTCCACATTTAAAGGTGATCCATCCAACAGTTCTGAAGACATCTCACTCTCAAATCAAAATGTCAACCTGCTGGTGGCTAGAAGAAAAGTCAGTGGTTCAACAAATGAATTGTGATTCAGCACTAAAGTATTGGACTGTCAGTTCATGATATACATCATACGTGTGGTCACAAAGCTAAGTTGCATTACTAATTAAACACATCAACTTTTGTTTTGGTTTTCAACAAATCCCAATCTTCATTAGCAGATGGAGTTTCCTGAGTTTAAAATCACATTATTAAATACGTTACAAATTAAATTTGTGTGACACTTGGACAAATGTTTGAAACAAAAGTGTTCAGTGCTGACTTTGTAGTTCCTCTATCTATGACTGCAAAGTTCCCGCAGTGCAACATTTTCATCATACTGAATTGAGCAATATACTTTCAGGGACTGATGACTGTTTGCCGTCTGGTCTCACAACAGTTTCCCGATTCTGTATCTCATAATCTGTAGACGGCCGCAGTTTACTGGCTGTCTGAGCTGGAACCCATTTTACACGGCTGCTAAAAGTCTTTGGAAAGGATATGAATAGCAAAACATACCACTTAAACACAAAAAAAGATAGGGATCGAATTGAAACAAACAAAGCACCACCTTGAGTAATGCCATTCCTTCCTCAAAGGCCAAAGAAAAAGTGAACCGAAAATGTTTTTGAGTGTCTATTTATCGGAACAAATGAGTGTGAGAAGGCTCCTGCAATTTTTTTTGGCAGCAAATATTTCCAGCATAGCTTGTCATTTCAACTTTGAAATGAATGTCTCACAAAAGCTCATTGATGCGAAAGGCCTTTTCAGCCACAGTGATTGCAAATTACTTTAAGGAGATTGGTTCCTGCCACTGCTCTGCAAAGCAAGTGGTTTGCTTGTTGCCAGCATAAACAGAGAGAGGAGGGTATTTCTCTCTCTTTCTCTCTGTCTGTCTGTCTGTCTCCCCTGTGTTGCTACATACTGTACAGTATAAGCTTGAACACATTACACTTACGCCTGGTGTTCAGCGTGATGTGCTTTTTCCGTGAACTAGGTAGTGTTGTAACAAGGGAGTGTTTGTATGAAGAGGAGGCGTGTGAGCTGTTCATGGAAAAGAGGGAAGTACAGACCAGACAGAAGAAGAGAGAATAAACTCTGGATTAACTTCTCTTTGTCAAAATATTACTCTGCAAATGACTCACCCCAATTTCATTATTATTGGACACATTATATAGACAAGGTGTGAGTTCACTAAACCCCTTTCTGAAAACATATGCTAAAACAGTAGCCCTTCTATCAATATGTTCTCCCTATTGAGATGCAATACTTAGGTTTATGCGGTAAGGAATTATAAAAGATTAATCAAAAGATGCTTTAGTAGCAGGAGTGGTGTTATATTAAAGTTGAGCATTATTTAAAAAGGCTTCTTAAAGCAGATTTGTGTGCCCCTGTCTGGATTGATTGAAGGATAATGTCATGTTTGGTTATCCTACAGCGTGACTTCTGCGTTCACCAATGAACTTCTTCGTCACTGAGGTGTCTGGGGCCTTGTGACTGTCCTTGACAATGACTCCTGGGGGCACAGCCTGTATATTTAACCTGCGGAGCCTCATTCAGCCGAAAACATTTTGAATTTCATGGAGTAGCGCAGTGGGACAGAGGCAGAGTGAACTGCTTACATCAGGCTTTGAGAGTGAACAAGCAGAAAAGTTGAGCACGGAGCAGACTGGTGACGACTTTGCAGCGCTCAAGACTCGCAGAGTGACTGACAGGCGAGTACAAAAATAAAACTGTTGCGTTGCCTAGCAACATAGGTGCTACGCAGCTGCTCCCTTCTGTGTGATTGTGGGCTATATTCTCTATATCATACATCCTTATGTTGGCTGCATTGGTGTTTCTTTTCTTCTGTTTGTTATAAAATAAGCTTTAGGTTATCTTATTTATTGTGTAATAAGTGTTCGATTTCTTGTTTGTTTGTAAATTTTTCTTTCTTATGTCCTTTTTTCTGGTTAGGTACAACAATGAGTCTAGGACGGCACTTTATAGGTTTATATTTGATAATCAGTTGTTTGCAGAGGCTGCAGTGCTTTCTTTAAAAAAGGATTTGCAGTTTTTTTTATCCTCAGGGCTCTATGGGGTGATGCTCCTCCACGGACTCTGACATTTAATACAATTTAGTATGTAGCTTAAATGATCTTTAGTTTGACAGTACTATCACACACACTTTCTTTACAACAGAAGGCCTACTTCTACTTTACAATAGTACTCTTTTCATCCCTGCAAGAAGCACACCTTTGAGATGCCTGCATCCAACACAGTGAAATGTTTGGTGTTTTGTTCATTTTTGTGTTGGTATCAGAGGCACCTGTGCTCTCACCACTCAGCAAACATTTCTAGAGCAACAGCTTGGTTTACATTTAATTCAACGTCCCATGTGACCTGAATGTAGCTGTTTTCATGTGCTTCTCATGATAAGTCCAAAAAGTCGTTGTTAGATGAAGCATGACGGGGTGAGCTCTCAGCAATTGAGAAACAGTCTAAAAATCCTGTCAACTCATTGATCGTTGTTTACAATTGATCACATCTTTGCTAAGCACATCAGTGATAAGAAAACCAATTTGTCATGGAGTTGGATACACCTCTTCATGTCACGGTACATAGGTCACAAGATGTGAAAGATCATTTTCACACCTCAGGCCTTTAAGAATGAAATAAACACATCTTTTTTTCTGTTTACACTGAGATTTAAGCTATGCTGGAACTGACAAACCCAAAATATCACACGCTAGTTAAGAATAACGTTCCGCAGAACATATTTCCCAAAGTGCATGTCAGAGCATTAATATTGTCAAAGATAAATCGCTCCTCAGGCCGAACTGATTACTTGCTTCAAAGATTGCTCCGCTACGGCCATCAATGCAATAATGAAAATAACATGGTCATGAACATCACTGGAGGCAGAAGTGCTTATTAATTGCGTTGCTCTCAGCCTTGTTTATTTACACCGTTTATACCATAAGCAACCTTCCCCTACCGCTTTTATCTACTTATCTTTTAAACTCGCTGCAGTTAAAGTCGATGTGAGTGGAATAAGAATATTTTTAGGCAGATGTCATGCTGTATGTGGAACTACCACAAACAAATGTGGCTCTTTGTAGTTTCTTTCTTTCACATTTCACAGTCAGTCAAGCTCTGGGTCCTGTGGTCTCAGTTAGAACAGTGTGTTAAAAGTCAGCAAAAAGGAGCAGGAGTATTATTACTGTTTGCTCAAAATAAATGCATTTGCTGTAGATATATTTAAATGTTGTGAGCATATTGTCTGAGTCTTAGCAGCTTTGTCTTAAAAAAAAAAGATTGTGCATGATCACACACAAAGATAATGACTTTTTGTCACAACTCAAAGGCTCCGTTAACTTCAGTTTGCACCAGAAACAGAAGGATGAAATCACACTAAAAGCTAAAAAAAAATACTTTATTTTCCTCCTTGTCATCTTCCACATTGTGCTCTCTTTATCATTGTATCTCTATATGTCAGGATAAATTATTCATGCGAAGCCCAGCGAGGCATCTCATTTGAAAAAACTAAAATAATCACCTAAGCATTTTTCAAACTGTAAAACAACAGAAAATATGTCCTAAATATACGATGTCATGCATAATAGGATTGGATCAAAAAGGATGTGCTCTCATATCCAGCCTAAAACAATCGAGGACGGCAGGTCTGTTGTTCAAACAGATGACAAATCCTCCCTTTACTGTTTCCTCTGATCACAGCAAACTGCCAGACGGAAAAAAATACATTTTATTTTCTCTAACTTTTGACTCCGGCAGCTGATTTACTTCCTCTAAAAAATACTATGATCTGTTGAAAGTGAGAGAAGTCAAGCAGAGCGTGGCATATTATCAAGAATACGGCCTAAAAGGTGTTAAGAGAAACGCCTGGATGTTGTGAACATGTTAACAGGAAACAAAGTGATCTCATTAATGCAACCAACGCCTTAGCAGACATTCATAGCACATGGCGGTAAAAACACCCCCAATACTGTCTGATGGATTGGAAAACAAATAATGACTATCAGTAAATCATGGTCAACTTGTAATTTATTACAGCGGGGAGGTGACTGAGAAGTAAGGAATAAAAGATGTATCGTTTTATAAAGAAACAGAAAACCATTATATTCTTGCACGCAATCCCTTTAAAACTGTTTACATTATTAATTGATATTTAGCTTTAGGCAAGGCTTGCTAGTTTCCCCTTGTTTCAAGTACTAAGTTAACCAACAACATGTTTACCTTTAAGACATTTAATCTTATGCCCCATTTACAAGGGAACGCAAATGCAAACGAAACGCAAACGAACCGAATTCGATCTAAAAAAAAGTCTTCCGTTCACACGAGACCGCTCGACCCGCTGGAGACGCTGTAGTACATATGCCGGGCCTGTAAGTGGTGCCGTACTTCCGCCACAAAATACACCAAAAGCAGCGAAGAAGACCCCCGAGCATGGTTGCCATGGTTGCCTGGTTGCCCTTCTGTTTATTCCCCGCGGTGGATTTAGCAACATGTAATTCTCCATGTCCACTTGTTGCTGATGGTTGTGGTAGAGGAGCTGTAGATTTTGCACTAACATCTGTAGCATGGTCAGTGAGCAGCAGAGATGGGGAGAGGTTGGGCTATGGCTTCATCGTTATCAGGAAAATTATCGTATAGGACGTACACACGGTTCCGTCCGCAGATCTATCCGCCTTGGGACCCGTCGTTATCGTTTTAGGGGTCCGTTTCCGCGGTTCCTTTACGGCCTCGTGTGAACGAACAGGCTATACGAAGGAGAAAAGTAGCGGATATAACCCGTTTAGTTCCTGCGTAAACAGCACCTTACTCTCAGCAAGAAAGCATGCAAAGTGTCACCCAACATTTTGAATAAGATTAAATTGAATGATTATCTTATCTATTTTATCGACTCCCTTAATTATTTTTGATATGTATGCTGTTTACAAGGCTTGTGACAGTCTGCAACAATTGATGAAACTTGGTAAACTAAACTTGTGGATGATGTAATCTGTTGGCAGTGTGGGCGAGAGCATTTGTTAGTGATTATGTTTTGCTACAGAGGCTTTTATTTAGCGGGGCAGGCTTTCAAATCAAGCTGAACAAAAACAGTCTCTCTGAACATGAATTAGAAGAGACAAACCCCAGCTGCCACATGGGAGTGGAGCTGTCTGAGCAGTAATGAAATGACTTGGTGCCTGTTTTCCCAGCAGCACTTGAGCAAGAAGATCAACTTAGTGCCAGTGTACGATAATGCCTGAACACGAAGATACTGCTGAGACGCTTCTGCTTAATTGGGCTCTGAGATGTCATATACTTGAAAAAAGTATGAGCCTTCAGGCACAATCCATCAGCCAAAATCATTAAATTATTTCTAGGTTTTTCGTCTCGTAATAATTAACAGTAAATAACCTTTTTAACCTCATTTATATTTATCAACATAACTCTATGCTTATTTTATGATTATTACTTAAATAACAATTTGAATTGTGTGTTATTCAAATGAATGTTTTAAATGCAGTATGCTGTACATATATTAATGATGTGCACAAACTTTGGACCGTACTTATCAAACTTCTAAGAATTACATTCAAAAAAGCTCAGGAAACACATTTAAGTCAAATAAATCAAAACAATGACAACATTTCTAAATGTTATTGCATTTTCCTCAGTGATATGTTGTCGGCAAAAACCTGGCAAAATACATGATGTGTAGCCATACCATTCTTTTGTGATGATAAAAGCTCAAATGAAAAGCTCAATAACAACCTTATTTTATATAGGGATTACAAAGGATATACATTTGATAAATCAGGATCACACTGACACACAATGAAGAAGACGAACTCATGCATTTAGAATATTTGTTTTACTGACATTTGGATTGTGAATTGTGCCTTTCATGCTCATTGGACCTGAATACTGCGACAGTCTCAAAAACCAAAACTAAGAGAAGTGTATCTCGATGGCATACAGTATATGTGTGTACTGAGTACACTGTATCATATTTAGAAAAACAAAAATAAGAGCACAAAATGCATCTAAATAATGGAAGTTTGAGACTTCCTTCTGCATCCTTTGAGTTTAACTTTCTAGCCGTTGGTAACAAACCTTTTAGAAAGTGAGAGCGTTTCATGAATCTGGATTGCAGTATGAATGTGAAGAGAAGGGAGTATTACATGAACACTGGGCAGACTTTAAATTGGCAAGCTCCCTTCAATACAGACTCAATGAATTTCACATGGGAGCTCTAAAAACAAAGTGCTCTCAATAACACTGTACTTCTCTCTGACACACACACACACACACTCTCCCCCTCTCTGAACTGCACACACACACACACACACACACACACACACACACACACACACACACACACACACACACACACACACACACACACACACACACACACACACACACACACACACACACACACACACACACACACACACACACACACACACTTGAATGTATGTATGTGCCTCTGCCTATTTCTTCCATTATGTACCACAAACTTAAAAGCTCATACAAATGTTGTCAACATACTCCACTCACAACATCATATGAATACAACATGACAGGAGTCTGTACAGTGTTTACAAATGTCAACTAACTCTGTACCCATTACAATGTAAGGGTCTTCCCAAAAGTTTAAAGGGGCCCTATTAAGCTCATTTTCGGGTTTCATAATTTATTTTGTGCCTCTACTGTGACATGTTTCCATGCCTTAAAGTTCAAAAAGCACTTCATTTTTCTGCTCTTTCCACCCTCTGTCTGAAACCAGAGCCCACTCTGCTCTGATTGGTTAGCTAGCCTGCTCTGTTGTGATTGGTCAACAGCGTAGAGATGTCCTGCCCCTTGGCCTATCAGTACAAAAGTACAATGTGTTGGAGCGCTAGCCAATAGAAGTGTGAGTGTTACACAGTGATGTCACTATGTTACGAAAGTAAACAAAGGAGTGCAATGGAGGCGTTTTAGGCCGGAGGGAAAGGGAAAACCCCAAAGAGCATAATAGGTCCTCTTTAAACAATGTCCTTTGAGCCCATGCTGGTTTTCTTTTCAAGACACTCCATCAGCTCCCCTGCACTGAAATAAAAAAACGGTTTCCTACTCCATGGCCAGGGCGACCCTGTCAGGCGTCATCGGCCCCCCCTTGACGGAGATCCACAAGTCCTCACTCGAGTTCTTTCTCTTCTTCGTTTCTGACCTTGCGGTTGCCATGGCGTCCTTGCAACAGCAGCAGTTGGCATGGCGACAGCAGCAGCAGTGGCAGCATACGACCAAAGCGGTGAGGAGGACGATGAGGGGCAGAGTCAGCAGCACCACCAGGCACACCGTGTTGTACGCCCCCTGGCTGTGCTTCTCTGCAGCAATGCTCCAAAGTTGGTGGAAAAAATCCCGGATGCTGTCTGTTCCCCCATCCATGGCGCTCGGATACGGAGTCGTGGCTCCTTTTAATTAAGTTTGTCTGGCAGTTGTAAAGTTTTAATAAATCCTTTAGAGGGTTGTGAAGTTTGCAAGTCAGTTAATGTGCGTATTAGCCAGCTGGAGACACTCAGATAATCACAAAATGGTGTTCATTTAAGTTGTTTTTTTATGCGGTATGGTTTCAGCTTCAAAGTTACTCCGACGTCTGTCAGGTCTGATATTGTTGGTGACTTGACATTGAACTTTCATGTGCTCCTGCTTTCTACTTCTAAAGAGTTTACAGCACTATCTGATGAGGCTCGCACTCAGGCTTGGGTTGTTTATGATAAATGGAAACACTGTAAGCATGCAGGGTGACTTCATGTATGTCTACTTCCTTGAAGTGCCCTGAGCATTCTTTAAACAAATCCAGAAGACCAAAAGCTCACGTGTTTATCAGAAGGTTTTCTTTGAAATAGCCCAGTTGTGACAATCTTGATGCAGGAGAAAAAAGGCAAAATCTGCACTCCAGCCAAGTTTGTTTATCCTGCTTGGCATTCCTCAAAATGTTTTCTTTCTCTTTGTCTTCCAGAGGTCTCGCTCGTCCTCTTGCTCTTTACAGTTAAGTTTTGTAGCGATGCTTTTGGGTGTGTCTGTGGAACAAAAGAAAGAGAAAGTAAATACATTTGCTTTTCAGCAGAAAGCTCTTCTTCCCTTTTTCCCAACTCGGCCTTCCAATCCATCTTTCTGCCTCTGTCGCTAAACGTCTCTACTCCTGCTCTCCCCCGCTTGTCAATGTCAGCTTCAGATTTTCCCCTCATTAATACTGCAGAAGACTCATTCAGGATTCAGGACAAATCTTTACGACTCCTGCTGAGGAAGACCGGTGCAAAGAAGAAGAGGAGAGAGAGATTGTGTCTGAGGGAAGGCAAGACAGAGATAAAGGTAACCAATCTTTCGAAGAGTCCCGCTGAGACAGAAAGTGTCAAGGAAAAAAAAAGAGACGTAGGCAAGAGAGAGACCTGCTACAGGAGGTTCATCTGAATATACGCAGCTAATTGCTCCCAATGGGGGAAATATATGGAGACTGGCTTAAGTTTTCATAAATGTCTGATTGTAACGCTTTCCTCTGACCTCAGATAAAATCTCCTAACAGCTCTACTGGAGGAGAAAAAACGAGGTGAGGTGCTTCAAATGGGGAAGCAGGTCTGCAGAAGAAATAAAAGAGGTAAAAGTAATATTGTTCCTTTTTTCTTTGAGACTATTTGATTAAGTCTAAAGCCTTGAGGCAACGTCTTTATTTAAACGGTGTTAAACCACTATAGTTTTCTCCAATGATTTCAAATACCAATTGAGTAAAGTACGTCCTCTAGATTCCCTTTAGCTCACGGCGTCAGAGCCTCTCTGTATTCTCGATGCAAGAGAGAGAAGAGATTCTCATCTCACATTTGACTGGCAGAGAGAGAAAGATGCACCTGCAAGTGGAGAGCAAATAGATTTGATGTGGCTGTCTTGGTGCGTTGCGTCTCATGTGTGAAATTGGTTTACCCGCAGAGAGTCTGCTAACTTCCCTCCCGCTCGTGTGCTCAACAGGAAGCTGAGCGCTCAAGCTAAGTAAAGCTGGAGTCATCTGAGACCTCAGAGTTAGAGATGAGAAAGAGCAGTCTCTCAGACCTAAAATAAATTACCACATTTTAAGCTGTGCTTGTTTCTATTTGTCTGTTTGGTTATAGGCTGAAATAAAATAAAGCTGTGTCCAATTCAACATACTTACTAAACTGTAAACAGCACAGTTTCATTTGTTATAGGCCTACGCACTCGGAAAAAATATATTTTGTTTGACACAAACAGAAAATGATGCAATACTTCAAACTACAACTGGATTTGAATTGGCTAATAAGATAAAAGCACATACAAATAAGAAGCTCCTCCATTTCCTTTGTCTACATCAACGGATTGCTGAATTATGATTTTGGTGTGTATTCTGACTGACTTTATTTTTTGTTATTTTGGGTTTTACTTTGGTTGTAAAACTACATACAAACGCTCACATGTAATTGGTGACAAGGGTTTGCACTCAAAGTGCAGCTTTTTAGCAGAAACATCAGATAAATGTGGACAATGATCTTATTTGATGTACAGAAATCCTTCTGGTCCCAACAGCATTGGATTGAAGCATGCATTAGTAAAATGTACGCAGATTTTCAGCCAAAAAGCATTGAAAGTCAACTGTGAACTATTCTAAGGAATATGAACATTGTTGGGAGCCCCAGAGTCACTTCCATGTTATTGTTGGTCTTTTCCTCCGCTGTAGTTACATCATGTTGAGCTCGGCTGAGCAGCAGCACCTTTGTGTAAACTCTGATCTCCCTCACATAATGAAAACACGGTCAACAAGAGGAGCCACAGTCACTGAACAATAAGTCCGTAGGAGAGAAACAAAGGCCGGTAACAGAGGTGTGATAGCTATATAAAAGAGATGACTAATAATGCATCAGAGCTAAAGTCATTGAATGGAATGGAAAAGTCATCAAGAGGTATGATAATTATAGTCTCTTGCCAGTATGAATGATCATTGTGGGTTATGTCTAACATGTAGAAATTGTAAAAAAGGATATTTTTTCTGTATGTGCTCCAATAGAAAGGCATGAAATAGTTACAAGCTATATTAAATAGAATATTTTCCTTCTCAGGTAGTTTCAAAATGTGGCTTTTCTCAAGGTAAACACTGTGATTGTCAGTATCGTTCTTCCAAGATCGCTTTCTCAGCAGGACATTTGCAGTTTGTAATAGAGGGTGTTCACACTGTGAATACTGATGGCATACGTCTGAGCTGAAGTTAGTTTGTGGTTTAGGAAAGGTGCAGAACAAAATAAATAATTGAAAAAAGAAAATACAGCCACGCTTAATTTTACTATATTTTAAATGAGGCCACATTCTTTAAATGTTTACCTTGTTCATATTATCACTGAAATGCCATTCTAAGTTTGGGTGCTTCACTTTCTCATGACATTGTGCTCTCAAGGAGCCATTCATATACAGGAAAAGGCCACACTGGGGCACACAAAGCCAGGAAGGGGCTGAGAAAAATGTTATGACTGCACTCACTTAGCCCTTGATGCTTTTTAAGGAACATGTGCGACCTAAAAGACAAAGTTGTGACAGAAGGCAAAGCAGGAATCTTTAATGACTCGCCCCGAGCACACAGTCAGAACACAGCCTTCATCAATCTGTATTAATATAGAGCATGGAGGACATGTTTAGCTTAAATTGAATCAGCCTCCAATAAACTATTAGGACATACTTGAGTTTTTTTGTTGTTGTTGTTGCTAAAAACACAAGCTAGGTCAGATCACTAAGTGTAGCTGTTTTCCTTGAGTAGTTAAAGGCCTGCTGACAGTCTGGAGGATTTCTCTGCATTTCTCTGGAGTGATCAAGAGCAAGTGCACAAGTCCATTACAGTTCAGACTTGTGTCAACTCGATCCTGACTGAGTGAAATGAGCAAAGTTGAGGACATTAAGACGAGGAGGAAGAGACACTAAAACCAGCATCAGGGAAAGACCAAAAAACCCTCCATTGAACAGAGCGACAGAAAGTTACTCTGAAAGAGATTGAAGCAGCAAATGCAGAGATTACAACTATTTTATAAACTAGAATTTGAATAAATAAATAAATGTTATCTTTTAACTAGATATCTAGAGGAGTACATTATAGTGATACTTCGGGGCAATCAAAGGCAAGAAGAAACGTATCATCTTATCCTTGTAACTTGTCAAACATCCAGTCAGATCTAATCTCTAATACAGAACAACACTCTTTTTATAGGAGTCTTCACCAACAAAGTTTAACCACAAGTCACACAAGAAAACGCTTCAACAGCTTATATAAACCACTCAGAACAGTTTCAAAGTATCTCAAATTGGCACTCAAGATCTCTTTGAAAGCGGCACCTTACCCCGTGGGGACGTGTGAAGTGGCAGGTCAGCTCGCCCTGCTGTCTAATCCGGACAGCTGCTCAGACTTCAGTTGTTTCTGTTTTGGCATCTGGCTTCTTCTCTGTTCTGGTCCCCCTCACCCAGACATCTTGACAAGTCTTCACTTTCTGTTCCTGTTTCCCTCTTTACCCTTGTTTCCCATTCTCCTCCTACTAGTGAGCGTGTGTTTTGGTCACAACGTCACAGCACCCTGCCCACTTTGTGTAAGAATGGGCCCTCTGTCTCTGCTGCTGTGTTTCCTGCATGGGAAACTACATTCTTGTGGTTGCTTTACTCAACTCACACAAGCCCAGGGTGATGTCAGGCAGCAAGGGGGGAAGTTATGTAAACTGCATACGAAATGAAATCATGAGACCTTATTAAATGTGTCTTACGAGAAAAACTCCTCATGTTAGGATATTAAAAGAAAGGCTTCTCTACATGCACCAATGTGAGAAACCATGCAACACCAGCATTGTTGCAGCATTTTACTTAATAACACTCCATCACAGTAAGAACCACTCCACCCACCTCAGAGTCCTGTTAAGGGAATAAGAAAGGAGAAATGAAAGCTGTTAAAGGGTGTGTGTTGTGAGCACCACCAGGTGTAAGAGTCAGATGCAGTTGAGATATGAACATACAGTCTATGGATATGAAAGAGTAAGGTCGTGTGAACTGCACACAAACGCACGCACACACATTCTTTCTATGCCTGTGGCATTATGGTCAGTGCCCTTTCAGCTCAGTCAGGCAAAGGAAAAGAGGATTTTTATTATTAAGTAAGAAAAAAAGTGTTTTGCTGACATTAAAAAGCAGCAGTCTATTTATTCTCTTCTTCTGAAAGGGGAAGTTATGAGATAAAGTGCACTGACTCGGATACTGTACACAAACTCTCAATATGATGTGTGCCTGTGAACATGCAATATCTCAGAGTGGTTAGTGTGGGCCTGCATAGTCCGACCTCAAAGAGACATTTTCTTTCGTGAGAATCAAACGTTCTTTGTTATAATAATGAATAAGGAAACATGGTCAGAAATACCCTGTTGTTTTTAATTATTCTACTGCAGTTACATACCCTCACCGGACCCTCTGACGGGCTGAACATGCAGATCGTCCTTTGGTTGCCACGGGGCATGGTTACATGAACATTTATGAGACGAGCCTCGCCATGTCTGCAGGTGTGTCTGAGCAATCTAAGACAAACAACAACCACCTGCCCTCACTCTCTCACACACACACACACA